CTGGGCTCCACTCAATGTATTGCAATGCAGATCGCATTGCAATATGTTGCTTCTCGGCCGTGCTAGCCGGGGGGAAAGAGACAGGCGTGACCTGAAAGTGACATCTTATATGTTGCTTTCCAGGTCACATGAAGGGGAGGAGGGCGGACATGTGTCCACACTCCTCTCTCCCCTCCACTCGCTGGGACCTGGTCCCGCAGATGGACAAACGGAGACCGGAATACATGGCTGGGGGGGGGGGGGTTGGTGCCGGAACCGGAAGTTTCAGACACCAGACTCTGCATTGTGGAGAAGACAAAGAATCCCCACCTCTGGGGTCTATACAACATATGGATGTGGCAGCAAAAGGGTTAAACATGCAATGATTTACCCCGTGCTGGGAATTGACCACCAACGTAATGGGGAATTTATACTGACCACCAATGTAATGGATGAAATTCTGCCGCCCTCAGCCAAAAAGTGGTCAATGGGAAGGTTTCCCTTCCAACATGACAATGACCCAAAGCACACAGCACCCCCCAGTGGTTGGAGGAGAAGAAGGGAGATGTCCCTGCATGGCCTAGTCAGAGCCCAGACTTCAACCCCATTGAAAGTCTGTGGAATGACCTGAAGACTGCCGTCCACAAACCATCACCATACAATGTCACTGACCCTGAGCCGCCCTGCAGAGAAGAGCGGGCAAATATCTCAAAGTCTAGAAGTTAGTAGAGAAATCCCGACAGAATAAAGGCTGGAATTACAGCAAAAGGGGGGTTCAACAAAACACTGACACAAGGGGGGGGGGATCCTTTTTCCAACTCAGTGATTCTACTTTTGAATTTTTGAAAATACATTTCTGATATGTCGGTGTTTATCTTTCACTTGGATGTTATACGTTGTAAATACAGCGGGATAAAACAAAAACTGTGTCTGTCTTCATTTCAGGATGCAAAGCAAGAAATATATATATATACAGTATCTCCCAGAAGTGAGCCCCCCCCTCCCCCAGACTGTATACAATGTGTATATATATATATACAGTATCTCCCAGAAGTGAGCCCCCCCCTCCCCCAGACTGTATACAATGTATATATATATACAGTATCTCCCAGAATACTGTGTGTATATATATATATATATATATATATATATATATGGGGGATACTGTATATATATATATATACATTTGTATACAGTCCGGGGGGGGGGGGGACTCACTTCTGGGAGATACTGTATATATATATATATATATATATACATTGTATACAGTCGGGGGAGGGGGGGCTCACTTCTGGGGGATACTGTATATATATATACACATTGTATACAGTCCGAGGGAGGGGGGGGCTCACTTCTGGGCAAAGGATACTGTATATATATATATACATTGTATACAGTCAGGGGGGGGAGGGGGGGACTCACTTCTGGGGGATACTGTATATATATATATATATATATATACATTGTATACAGTCCGGGGGAGGGGGGACTCACTTCTGGGGGATACTGTAGTATATATATATATATATATATACATTGTATACAGTCCGGGGGAGGGGGGACTCACTTCTGGGGCAATACTGTATATATATATATATACATTGTATACAGTCCGGGGGAGGGGGGGCTCACTTCTGGGGGATACTGTATATATATATATATATATATACATTGTATACAGTCCGGGGAGGGGGGACTCACTTCTGGGGGGTACTGTATGTATGTATATGTGTATGTATAATGTTTGGAGGTTCTAAGTAGTTTCTAGCAAAAAATGCTGATTTTTACATGTAGGAGAGGAAAGCCACGATTGGCCCAGGCTGGAGCGGTGAAAGCCCGCCCCCTTTGTCGCTGCACATATGCGTTACTTGGGCGACAAGAGGTTAAAAAGCTGCTGGTGATGTCTTCAGACAACACCAGAGAAATACTCTGAGACGGCCACTAGATGGCGATCCAGGCCTAGAAATCGGTGACTACAAGTCTAATAAAAAGGCTTTCTAAATTCTTTTTCTATGAGATGTAATATTAATGTGTTTCCCTTTAGGGCACATTTTTAAATTATATTCGGTGACGGGTACATGAGGGGAATTTTTTTTTTTTTAATAGTTATTTTTTGTCTCCCTGAGCAGTTAGAAGTTAGCTCTGCGGTTCGGCTGTAACGTTTCCAAACTTTGTGTTTTGTGTCCTTGTTACGGATCACCATGACTGCGCTTGGATACTTCTGTTAGGATACCGCTTCCCCGTCCGAACACCGACCACAGACACCACCGCTGACCATACAAGACTAGACCACGCAATCTGTCCACCGACCACAGACCTGACCATACAAGACTAGACCACAGCATCTGTCTGAACACCGACCACAGACACCACCGCTGACCATGCAAGACTAGACCACACCAATCTGTCTGAACACCGACCACAGACACCACCGCTGACCATACAAGACTAGACCACACCAATCTGACCATACAAGACTAGACCAAGCAATCTGTCTGGAACTCTTAGACCACACCAATTGAAACTCGAACTGGCTTTTTACAAGACTACACTGAACAGGGGACAGCTTTTTATACACTCAGGGGACCCCCCTCCCTGCATAATGACACAGGGTGGGGCAATCTACACTTAGCAACAAGAGACACACAGGCAGGGGCGGACTGACCATTTGGGAACTCGGGGACTGCCTGAGGGCCCGGGGTCAGTAGGGGGCCCCGTGAGATGCCCCTGGTATCTTTCATAGTCTTTTTTGGAAGTGGTTTGAGTGTGGGTGAGGACACGGGGGCCCCATGATCTCCTATTGCCCGGGGGCCCTATGAGTTGCCCCTGCACAAAGGTAATCAAACTTCACACCAGCAGACAGTCCCATCAGGGGGAGGGCTGCTGGAGACACCCCCCCCCCCACTAAGCTAATACACATAAACGCATACATCCCATAACAGGGGTGGACTGACCATTTGGAAACTCGGGCACTGCCCGAGGGCCCGGGGTCAGTAGGGGGCCCCATGAGATGCCTCTGGTACCTTTTTCATAGGCTTTTTCTGAGTTTGGGAAGGACACAGGGGCCCCATGATTCCCTATTGCCCGGGGGCCCCATGAGTTGTCAGTCCGCCCCTGTCCCATAATAGTTTGCTCCCAAGCAAGACACACAATGGAACAATAGGATGCAACCACATGGCATTAAATAATCAACAACCCCCCACCCCACTATTAGGACAGTTCACCCTGTACCCCTAACAGGCACAGGGTGACTTACACATAAGAGGGATATGGGGAGCTGAGACAGGGGTCTCCCCACCTCTCCAAATTGAGCTGTGTTCCATGGGCCCCCACCCAAAGTGACTCCCGTCACATAATATAAAAAGACGGGGATTTTCATGATGGATGTGCTAATGCTGTGACATTTCTAGTCATAAAGGGACCTCCTATATATCTAAAGGTTTGTGGACACCTGACCCTCGCGACTCTGAAGCCAAAAATAAGAGGCCACCGTTAATCAGGGGTGTCCAAACTAGGGCCCTCCAGGTGTTGAGGAACTGCAAGTCCCATGAGGCCTTGCAAGATTCTGACATCCACAGGCAAGACACCCAGAGGCAGAGGCATGATGGGACTTGTAGTACTTCAACAGCTGGAGGGCCATAGTTTGGACACCCCTGGTTAAAATTATTGAGTTTAGATGTTTCTAGTTAACGATACTATTGGTGAGGTCCCCTTTTTTGTTCCAGCATGACTGTGGTTTAATCATTCTGAACCAGCTCCAAAAAGACATGGTTTGACCACTTTGGACCCGCTCCATAAAGACAGGGTTTCACCAGTTTGGACCCGCTCCAAAAAGACAGGGTTTGACCACTTTGGACCCGCTCCATAAAGACAGGGTTTCCCCAGTTTGGACCCGCTCCAAAAAGACAGGGTTTCACCAGTTTGGACCTGCTCCAAAAAGACAGGGTTTGACCACTTTGGACCCGCTCCATAAAGACAGGGTTTGACCACTTTGGACCCGCTCCATAAAGACAGGGTTTGACCACTTTGGACCCACTCCATAAAGACATGGTTTGACCACTTTGGACCCGCTCCATAAAGACAGGGTTTGACCACTTTGGACCTGCTCCATAAAGACATGGTTTGACCACTTTGGACCCGCTCCATAAAGACATGGTTTGACCACTTTGGACCCGCTCCATAAAGACATGGTTTGACCACTTTGGACCCGCTCCATAAAGACATGGTTTGACCACTTTGGACCCGCTCCATAAAGACATGGTTTGACCACTTTGGACCCGCTCCATAAAAAACCAGGGTTTCACCAGTTTGGACCCGCTCCATAAAGACAGGGTTTCACCAGTTTGGACCCGCTCTATAAAGACATGGTTTGACCACTTTGGACCCGCTCCATAAAGACATGGTTTACAGGATTTATATTATTATTACTATTATACAGGATTTATGGCGCCAACAGTTTGCTCAGCGCTTTACAATATAACGGGAGACAATACAGCAACAATACAGATCAATACAAGAGGGATAGGAGGGCCCTGATCCTGGGAGCTTACAATCTAGGAGGGAGGGGCTGGTGGTACAAAAGGTAGTAACTGTGGGGGATGGACTGGTAGGAGGAATAGAAGATTCCATTATTAACTGAGGGCAGGATAGGCTTCCCTGAAGAGATCGGTTTTCAGAGATCGCCTAAAAGTGAGTAGAGTAGGCGATAGTCTGATAAATTGGGGTAGAGAGTTCCAGAGGATGGGGGAAGATCTGGAGTTGTCCTGGAGATGAGTATGGGAGGAGGAGACAAGGGAGCTAGAGAGCAGGAGGTCGTGTGAGGAGCGGAGAGGACGGTTTGGGTGGTATTTGGAGACAAGATTGGTGATATAATTTGGGGCGGAGTTATAAATGGCTTTATATGTGATTGTTAATGTTTAGAATTTTATCCATTGGGTAATGGAAGCCAGTGGAGGGATTGGCAGAGAGGGGTGGAGGACACTGAATGGAGACCAGTGGAGGGATTGGCAGAGAGGGGTGAAGGACACTGAGTGGAGGTCAGAGGAGGGATTGGCAGAGAGGGGTGGAGGACACTGAGTGGAGGTCAGTGGAGGGATTGGCAGAGAGGGGTGGAGGACACTGAATGGAGGCCAGTGGAGGGATTGGCAGAGAGGGGTGGAGGACACTGAATGGAGGCCAGTGGAGGGATTGGCAGAGAGGGGTGGAGGACACTGAATGGAGGCCAGTGGAGGGATTGGCAGAGAGGGGTGGAGGACACTGAATGGAGGCCAGTGGAGGGATTGGCAGAGAGGGGTGGAGGACACTGAATGGAGGCCAGTGGAGGGATTGGCAGAGAGGGGTGGAGGACACTGAATGGAGGCCAGTGGAGGGATTGGCAGAGAGGGGTGGAGGACACTGAATGGAGGCCAGTGGAGGGATTGGCAGAGAGGGGTGGAGGACACTGAATGGAGGCCAGTGGAGGGATTGGCAGAGGGGGTGGAGGACACTTGGAGGCATTGGCAGAGAGGGGTGGAGGACACTGAATGGAGGCCAGTGGAGGGATTGGCAGAGAGGGGTGGAGGACACTGAATGGAGGCCAGTGGAGGGATTGGCAGAGAGGGATGGAGGACACTGAATGGAGGCCAGTGGAGGGATTGGCAGAGAGGGGTGGAGGACACTGAATGGAGGCCAGTGGAGGGATTGGCAGAGAGGGGTGGAGGACACTGAATGGAGGCCAGTGGAGGGATTGGCAGAGAGGGGTGGAGGACACTGAGTGGAGGCCAGTGGAGGGATTGGCAGAGAGGGGTGGAGGACACTGATGGAGGCCAGTGGAGGGATTGGCAGAGAGGGATGGAGGACACTGAGTGGAGGCCAGTGGAGGGATTGGCAGAGAGGGGTGGAGGACACTGAATGGAGGCCAGTGGAGGGATTGGCAGAGAGGGGTGGAGGACACTGAATGGAGACCAGTGGAGGGATTGGCAGAGAGGGGTGGAGGACACTGAATGGAGGCCAGTGGAGGGATTGGCAGAGAGGGATGGCAGATACAGAGCGGTTAGTAAGGTGGATGAGTCTGGGGGCAGCATTCATGATAGACTGAAGAGGGGATAGCCTGCGATGAGGTCGGCCGATGAGGCCAGTGTGGTACCAGTAATAACTTGTTCACAAGGACATGGAGAGAATTCTTTTCTCCATCTCCCAACCTCTATTTGTGTGGAACAATGCGTGTTGCCTGGCTGTGCAGAGCTTAGGGGGGCCCAAAACAAGTCCATCTGCCCTCAAGAGGGTGGTGTTCCATTCATCTCCAACGTTTCCACTTGTTGCCTCACCCATCTGCCTCGCCCCGACATCACAGGTACTCTTTAGAGTCCCAATAATACCGGCACCATCGGAATATAAGGAATACAACATTTTGCTGAATTCTTCTTCTTTTATGAGGAAATGTTAGAGATTGAAGCCAAATACAGATATAGACCTTTGAAGTCTATACAATGAAATCTGGTTCACAGCCGACACCCGGCTTCTGCTCCTCTCTCAGACTTCGCTTTATAAAGTGAAAGGTCTTTCTTCATTCTCCAGAAGAGAGTAGACTTCATCCTCCAGAGGAATACTACCGATCCCCCCCACCACCCAACCCCCCCCCCCACCACGGAAACCCCCCCCCCCACCACGGAGGGAGAACATCACTGGAATCCTTACATTGTGAGCCGAGACACACAACTCCACACAGGGAAGATGTTGGCGCCTCACCGATCTCTGGGCTGAAAGTGTTCCTGAACCCCAAAAAAAAAAAACATTATATTGGATTACCAGCCCTCAGATGTGGCGGCTGCATTCATTTCTTTTTCCCGGCTTCTCATTTTCATTATTTTTACCTGGTGATCCTGCCAGGAACACATTTCCTGTCGAATGGCAACCACACTTGTAAGAGGGGCTTTGTGGTTGGCTGTATTTGGCACCAAGAGCGCAAGTCTCTACCATCGCTCCTGTCCTGCTAGAACATTGTCCCTCCTGCTGAAGGCGAAACCGCCGCCATCTTGTGCCCCACTCCATGGCGGAGACCACCGCACAACATGCCTACGTATTCCCAAAGGAAGCAACGTCCACACAGAAAAGTAGTTTAGCTGCCCTTTACTGGAAATGGCATAACAGTCACATCACAAGGACATACGTTCCGGGGTCACTTAACAATCAATTACATTTAGTGGATGGTCTGCAGTAGTCACATGTGAAAGCATATGCAGCACCTTGGCAGCCATCTCCATCTAATAGTCATCATAGTGATAAAAAAAATATATATATATATACATTGTATACAGTCTGGGGGAGGGGGGACTCACTCCTGGGAGATACTGTATATATATATATATATATATATATATATATACATTGTATACAGTCTGGGGGAGGGGGGACTCACTCCTGGGAGATACTGTATATATATATATATATATATATATATATATATATATATACATTGTATACAGTCCGGGGGAGGGGGGCTCACTTCTGGGGGATGCTGTATATATATATATACATTGTATACAGTCCGGGGGAGGGGAGGACTCACTCCTGGGAGATACTGTATATATATATATATACACATTGTATACAGTCCGGGGGAGGGGGGACTCACTCCTGGGAGATACTGTGTATATATATATATATATACACATTGTATACAGTCTGGGGGAGGGGGGACTCACTCCTGGGAGATACTGTGTATGTGTGTATATATATACATTGTATACAGTCCGGGGGAGGGGGGGACTCACTTCTGGGGGATACTGTATATATATATATATACATTGTATACAGTCCGGGGGAGGGGGGGACTCACTTCTGGGGGGTACTGTTATATATATATATATACATTGTATACAGTCCGGGGGAGGGGGGCTCACTTCTGGGAGATACTCTATATATATATATATATATATTATATAGTCCGGGGGAGGGGGGGGACTCACTTCTGGGGGATACTGTATATATATATATATACACATTGTATACAGTCCGGGGGAGGGGGGGACTCACTTCTGGGGGATACTGTTAATATATATATATATACATTGTATACAGTCCGGGGGAGGGGGGCTCACTTCTGGGAGATACTCTATATATATATATATATATATACATTGTATACAGTCGGGGGGGGGGGACTCACTTCTGGGGGATACTGTTAATATATATATATACATTGTATACAGTCCGGGGGAGGGGGGCTCACTTCTGGGAGATATATATATATATATATACATTGTATACAGTCCGGGGGAGGGGGGCTCACTTCTGGGAGATACTCTATATATATATATATATATATACATTGTATATATCACTTCTGGGGGATATATATATATATATATACATTGTATACAGTCTGGGGGAGGGGTGGACTCACTTCTGGGGGATACTGTTATATATATATATACATTGTATACAGTCCGGGGGAGGGGGGGACTCACTTCTGGGGATACTGTATATATATATATATACATTGTATACAGTCGGGGGGGGGGGGGGGAGATACTGTATATATGTATTCAGAGAGGAGCTCACCGTCACTACATCTCAGATTAGAACAAAATAACAAGAAGAATGTATCTGATATAAAATATCTCCTGAAGAAGTCAGAAACAGGCGAAACGTTAAGAAATGTGACCCGGAAACCATCATTCGAATGAGCGCAATCAATAATATTTTGATCCCAAAATTTTTTTTTTTCATTATTTATTTTAATTGATCAATAATAAATATTGCAAATTGTAGCTTTTTGTTGTCGTTCTATCATTACAAATCCTGTCCTCTCCCCTGAATGTGGGGAGGTCTCCCTCCCCCCCCCCCTTCTTTCTAGTTATTTTGTTTATTATATTATTTATTAATCCGCTCCAATTACAGACTTGCACCGCTATGCCGACACGCTGTTTCTCGGTCTTTGCTGTTAAAAAAAAAAAAAAAAAGTGTAAACTAATTTTGCCCTTTAGAGAATTGGGCCCATACATGTTTAATTGGACTATGTAAAGAAATGACAAAAGAGGGGGGGGGGGGGGACACAACCACAAAGTATTTTTAATTATTAATGCTCTAATATAAAGGGCTCCTGTCTCCCGACTTGTTGAGCGTTCATTTCACATCCTCTAAAATTATTAAAAAGAGTTCCTATATATTGGACACATATCATAAAACCTGGAATCTCACCGCGGGGGGGGGAGGGGCAAGGTGTCTGCGGGGACCAATCTCCATCCGTCGCAGGGCCTTTTAAAAAGCAGGACAGAAATAAAGCCATTACTGCAAATATGATGTTAAATATGTAATCTAAGCATGTTTTCTAGAAGGCGCCGTAATGAACTCATTGAAAGGAAGTCTTTTATTACCGCTGGAGCCGGTGTTCCAATTGCACCGCAGAAAAAAAAAAAAACGCCAGAAAGTGGCCGGCCCATTAAAGCAACCTTAATGCAAAACATTAAAAGAGATTAGAATGCGCAGATTAAGTCGCGCTTCTTCCGATCGGTGCAATGACCCGCTTTATTAAAGGTACGGGCGCGCGGCGCGGCGTCACGTGGTGACGTTAGGAAATTGCTGCGCGGTGTTATTTTAAAGAAAAAAAAAAAGGTGTTTAAAGCTACGACGGGGTAATGCGCACGTGGCGGGGCTGACAACTCATGGGGCCCCCGGGCAATAGGGGATCATGGGGCCCCTGTGTCCTTGCCCACACTCAAAGCACACCCAAAAAAGCCTATAAAAAAGGTAACAGGTATTTCATGGGGCCCCCTACTGACCCCGGGCTCTCGGGCTGTGCCTAAGTGCTCGAACGGTCAGTCCGCCCCTGGGCAGGGTGGATCTTACCGCCGACCCGCTGAAAGGAAAAAATCAAGTGTGTCCATTATTCAGATTCATTTTCGGAGGCCCAGAAATCGGTAATAAGGAAATAGATTGTTTTTCTTGGTTTTTGGGTTTTTTTTTTTAACTTTTAACAAATACTACTTTAGTAAAAGCAACTTAATTAAAGAGACCGCCGAAAATGAAAACAAAAAACATGTCTGGTCAGGGCAGGACTATAGACCGGCTCCAAGCTTTCTAAATAAAGGGCCAGTTTACTGTCCTTCAGACTTTACGGGGGGGGGAAGACTGGCCAGTGGGAGTAGAAAATGTCTTGGTGTCAATGAGAAGAATAGTGCCCCATCATTGGTGTCAGTGGGGGGAATAGTGCCCCATCATTGGTATCAGTGGGAGGAATAGTGCCCCATCATTGGTATCAGTGGGAGGAATAGTGCCCCATCATTGGTGTCAGTGGGAGGAATAGTGCCCATCATTGGTGTCAGTGGGGGGAATAGTGCCCCATCATTGGTGTCAGTGAGGGGAATAGTGCCCCATCATTGGTGTCAGTGGGGGGAATAGTGCCCCATCATTGGTGTCAGTGAGGGGAATAGTGCCCCATCATTGGTGTCAGTGGGGGGAATAGTGCCCCATCATTGGTGTCAGTGAGGGGAATAGTGCCCCATCATTGGTGTCAGTGGGGGGAATAGTGCCCCATCATTGGTATCAGTGGGAGGAATAGTGCCCCATCATTGGTATCAGTGGGAGGAATAGTGCCCCATCATTGGTGTCAGTGGGGGGAATAGTGCCCCCTCATTGGTGTCAGTGGGAGGAATAGTGTCCCATCATTGGTGTCAGTGGGGGGAATAGTGCCCCATCATTGGTGTCAGTGAGGGGAATAGTGCCCCATCATTGGTATCAGTGGGAGGAATAGTGCCCCATCATTGGTGTCAGTGGGGGGAATAGTGCCCCATCATTGGTATCAGTGGGAGGAATAGTGCCCCATCATTGGTGTCAGTAGAAGGAATAGTGCCCCATCATTGGTATCAGTAGAACGAATACTGCCCCATCATTGGTGTCAGTGGGAGAAATAGTGCCCCATCATTGGTGTCAGTGGGAGGAATAGTGCCCCATCATTGGTGTCAGTGGGAGGAATAGTGCCCCAT